TTCACATGTTGTTAACTACCTTAGCTAAAACAACTCCTCTCTGGGGCTTTACCCTGGTTTATTTTTCTTCATAGTATTGCATTAGGGAAAAAAATACAAAATAAAAAAGTACCCTCACTGCTGTCAAGTCAGATCTGATTCATAATGATCCCTCCTTGGATTTCCAAGGTGGTATCACTATGGAAGTAGATTGTCCAACCTTCCTTCCAAGGAGTGGCTGGTGGATTTGAACCTCCAGCCTTCTGCTTAGCAGTCAAATGTCTTAGGCACTGTGTCACCAGAGCTCCCATTATGGGAAAAGAGATCCCAAATTCAAATAGGTTCAATAAAGACACCTTTATTAAGCCTTGGACAGGACAAAGGAAAAAAAAAAAAGACAATCATCCTGGATGAAGGAAACCATTAGACTGAGATATCTGACAATGGAGTGTGCTGAGTCGTGGCCATGTGGCTAATTATATGATTTTAAATCATCACAAAATTATGATTGGTGGTAGACAGATTCATCATTGTTACAGTCAGGACTATAGAAGCAGGGAAAAGACCATGATTGGAATACACACATAATTGAAGACAGAGAAGGTTACAGGATTGGTTCTAGGCCTTGACTACCTTGCTGGTGGTTGTCGGGATAGGCTGTGACTCATGACCATGCAGCCTGAGTCTTAGCCACAAGGTGCCTAGTAAACAATACTAAGACCCCAACCTTAATTTAAATTAGAAAAGGATACACTCAGGGAAGTTCCCTAGTTTCTTGTGTGAATATAGTCTGTTTTCAACCGTATTCCTCCTGAAGACAAACTGCCACTCCTTAGGTTTGTCCTAAAACTTGTCGATGCATAGCCACAATGATGGTTTAATGCTCAGAAAGAACCCAAATGGCATCTGAAACTTATGTCGAGCCTCAAAATGGAGTTAGGGCTCCCACTGTGGACCACTGCCTTCCACAACCCAAGTGCTTTAGAATTTAAACTCTAATACACTATTTATCACCATTGTTAAAAAAATAACCAAAACTCAAAGACAGTAATACATAAGGTTTATTTTGTTCAGTTACTCTATATGCATATGTTGTTGTTATTGTTAGGTGCCGATGTGTCAGCTCCAACTCACAGCAACCCTATGTACAAAAGAACGAAACACTGCCTGGTCCTGTGCCAGCCTCACAATCCTTGCTACACCTAAGCTCATCATTGCAGCTCGTGTGTCAATTCATTTCATTGAGGGCTTTTCCCTTTTTCATTGACCCACCCTTCTCCAGGGAATGGTCCCTTCTGACAACATGAGTAAAGTAGGTGAGATGAAGTCTGGCCATTCTTGCTTCCAAGGAGCATGCGGCTGCACTTCTTCCAGGACAGGTTTGTTGGTTCTCCTGGCAGTGACTGAAAACACTATGGCTTGGGTTAGGAGCACTTTAGTCTTCAAAGAGACATCCTTGCTCTTCAGCAGTTTAAAGAGGTCTTTCATGGGCAGATTTGCCCAGTGCAATACATAGTCTGATTTCTTGACTGCTGCTTCCATTGGTGTACTTTCAGCACTCTTCGCCAACACCACAACACAAAAGCATCAACTTTTCTTTTGTCTTCCTTATTCCCTGTCCACCTTTCACATGCACATGAGGTGACTGAAAACAACATGGCTTGGGTTAGGAGCACCTTAGTCTTCAAAGAGACATCCTTGCTCTTCAGCAGTTTGAAGAGGTCTTTCACCGGCAGATTTGCCCAGTGCAATACGTAGTCTGATTTCTTGACTGCTGCTTTCATTGGTGTTGATTGTGGAACCAAGTAAAATGAAATCTTTTTCAACTTCAATTTTTTCTACGTTTATCGTGAGGCTGTTTATTGGTTCCGTTGTGAGGATTTTCATTTTCTTTAGGTTGAGGTGTGTTCTGGTTACCTAGTGCCACGCTGACAGGAAACATACCACAAATGGGATGGCCTTAACAAACAGGAGTTTATTCTTAAAATTTGGAGGCTTTAAGTCCAAGTTCAAAGTGCCAGGCTCTAGGGGCTGAGTGAAAGCCCCTCAACCTTGGGGTCCAACTCTGCCTCCTGCTCCTGGCCCACTGAAGCTAGAGGCATTTCTTCACTCAGACAGCTGCTGGCTGTTGAGGCTGAAAAACCCAAGGTTGACAAGTAAAATGGCACAGTCCCGATGTTACCAAACCACACAGCAGACCATTGACTTAAGTCCATTACAAGTCCCAAGGTCAGGAGAGCATAGCAGGCTGCTGAGCAACGATATGGCTACATGCAGGGTCCAAGCATGCCATAGGCTAGAGACCATTCCCAAGGCTTCTCCCTATATACAGGAAGCAGACCACATTCCCAAAGGCAGCTACTCAGCTGCTTGTGGTAGATCCCACCATGGAGTTGATTGCCTAGCCACTCAACCAGGCCCAGCCAAGTTGACACACAAACATAACTACTACAAGGTGTAACCAATACTGCAGACTATAGTCTTTAATCTTCATCAGTTAGTGCTTCAAGTCATCTTCACTTTCAGCAAGCAAGGTTGTGCATCTGCATATCGTAGGTTGTTAATGAGTCTTCCTCCAATCCTGTTGCCGTGTTCTTTTTGCGTAGTCCAGCTTCTCAGATTATTTGCTCAGAATACAGACAGATAGAATAAGTATGGTGAAAGGATACAGTCCTGACACACTCCTTTCCTGATTTAAAACCAGGCAGTATTCCCTTGTTCTATTTGAACAACAGCCTCCTGGTCTGTGTACAGATTCCTCATGAGTACAATTAAGTGTTCTGGAATTCCCATTCTTAATGTCATCCATAATTTGTTATGATCCACACATTCAAATGCCTTTGCATAGTCAATAAAATATAAATAAACATCTTTCTGGTATTCTTCGCTTTGAGCCAAGATCCATCTGACATCAGTAGTGATATCCCTCATTCCACATCCTCTTCTGAATCCAGCTAGCATTTCTGGAAGTTCCCTGTCAATATATTGCTGCAACCATTTTTGAATTATCTTCAGGAAGATTTTACTTTCTTGTGTTATTAGTGATATTGTTGAATAATTTCCACATTCTGTGGGATCACCTTTCTTTGGAATGGGTACAAATGTGGACCTCTTCCAGTCAACCAGGCAGCTATCTTTCAATTTTCTTAGCATAGACACAAGTAAGTACCTCCAGCACAGCATCTGTTTGTTGAAACATCTCAATGGATATCCCATCAATTCCCGTAGCCTTGCTTTTCACCAGTTCCTTAGTGCAGTTTCGACCTCTTCCTTCAATACCATTGTTCCTTAATCATATGGCACCTTATATTACCTGATCACCGTATCACCATATCACCTGATAGAATTTTGCAAGACCAATGATTTATTCATTGCAAATATCTTTTTCAACAATGTAAACAGCAGCTATACACAGGGACTTCACCAGATGAAATACACAGGAATCAGATGGACTACACCTCTGCAAAGAGGCGATGGAGAAGCTCAGTATCTTCAGCTGAAACAAGGCCAGGGGCTGACTATGGAACAGACCATCAACTGCTTAAATGAAAGTTTAAGTTGAAGGTGAAGACAACTAAAACAAGTGCACAAAAGCCAAAATATGATCTTGGTGGTATCCCACCTGAATTTAAAGGCCATCCAAAGAATAGATTTGATGCACTGAACAGCAATGACCAAAAACCAGAGGAATTGTGGGATGACGTCAAGAATATCATCCATGAAAAAAGCAAAAGGTCATTAAAAAAAGAGGAAAGGAAGAAAGACCAAAATGGATGTCAGAAGAAGACTCTGAAACTTGCTATATGCATATAAGGAGACCATTTATATTGCTGTAGAGCAGTTTTGATGCAGTGCCTAAAGCATTTGACTGCTAACCAGAAGTTGGCAGTTCAAACACACCAGCTGTCACGTGGAAAGAAGATGGCGCAATTTACTTCTGTAAAGATTTACTGCCTCAAGAACCCAATGGGGGGGGGGTCACTGTGAGTCGTAATCCATCTGATGGCAGTAAGTTTGGTTTGGTTTTTTTTGGTTAGAGCTGTTTCTGGCAGGCTTATAGTTTGAGTCAGGCCTTTTATGGTCAATATTTGGTTTTGTGGATAAGAAAAATCTTAAAATTAAAGCCCGTTATTACTTCTCCTCTTCAACTACACCTAACATATTTGTCTAAAGGTAAGGACTTTGTTTTGCCAACACAGTGGTACTCCACCTGAGTTTTTCATTTGTGTAGCTCTCTAGTACTAGACTTAGTACAGTGAGCCTTCAGTAAATATTTGTTCAAAGGGTAAATGAGAGAATGAAAGATAAAAATAAATAAGCCCTCTCTTGTAGCCAAGAAATCGCTTTTCACTATACAAATTATATGCAATGGAAACATCTTAATAGTTCTCAGGGATTTTTAACCGTATTGCACTGGTTGAAAATGTGCTATGGTAAGGTTACACAGCAATGAAAAAAACTCCTAAAATCCTGTCAGGTCGCTCTCTTTCCTCTTGTTATTGGTGCACTTTTCTAGATTTAGCGCTTAACCTTTGGCATCAGACCCAACGGACCAGTTGCTTCCAATTTGAAAATGTCATATTTGGAATTGCAGAGACGTCCGAAATGCGACAAATATAAAAGAACAGGCAACAGCATAACTTTTAACTATAACATTTCTTTCTTTCAATTTTTCAACAATCTTTTTACCTGCTACAAATGAAATCCTGGAAACAAAACGCACGGTAAACTCTACTTCCCAGAGATAAAATGGCGAAGCGGCTTCTGTGCCCACACCCAAAATGGACACTATGACGTTCCCCACAATAATCCTTCACTGGCCCCGCCCCACCAGCCCGGACCTCTGTGTCCTCCTACTACTATTCCTACGCTTCCGTCAGAAGTCTGTTCATGATTGGCTGTCCGCAGTTTTTGCCTCCTATCTGGATGTTGCGTCACGCAGTGAGCCGCTGGAGCTGAGCGCGTTGCGTTAATAAGAGGAGGGTGAAGGGCTGGAGAGGTGGGCTTGTGCGCGGTTTGCTGCCCTGGAAGGGGAACTGAGCGGTAGAAGTGACCGGGAACTGAGGTATGGCTTCTTCAGGCCGATTGAAACCCGAAACCCCCATAGTTTTAACTGCGGGCTGGTTGAGGCTGGGAAGGCGTGTAGGCGGTGGCGCTGCTAACTGCGTCACGGCCGGCTGCTTGTCAGAGTTGCTGTCCTGCGCGTGACGCAGCGGAGGGGGCGACTGCGGGCATGACCAGGCGGGCGGAGGCTTGTTATCACCGGTTTCTATTCCCAGGGCAGCGAGGTCTCTAGTCATTCTCCGCGGCCGGTCCGCATAGCAAGGTAAGCACTGACCGATAAGTTATGGTGCCCAAAGGAGTATGTTGTGAAGTTTTTTGTTGACATTAGAAGATTGGAGGCTTGCTGCCGGGTTCTTCTTCAAGTATAGTGGGCGTCGTGGTATTTCTTGGGATGTCAGTACTCACAGAATCCAATATTTTTTCGGGCATCCGAGTCTCCAGGAGGTCTAACACGCTCACAAGCCCAATGGTAGTATGGGGCAGAAATGAGAGTCCAACCCTGAACAGAGTGCAGGGCACTTACTCTGAGTTGGGCCTCCACTGCAGTCAGTAGACTGACCACTGACGGGAGTTTAGGGTATCAGTATGCTAAGATGATGTAATGGAATGAAAGTGCCAGAAGAGCAGGATGTTTCCCAAAGGACAAACCTCCAGTGTTGTACATGCTTCACGTATCTAGTGGCAGAGCTAGAAGGGCACTCAGGTATTTTTTAAGCTAAAGTTTTTAGTTTTTAGGGTACTGCTTAAAATACATGTTCCATTAGGACTTAGGAATCTGTGTTTTAAAGTGCATCCCAAGTATATGCATAACAAGTAGGCTAAGAGGCATCACTGTAGTCTGAGCACTGTTTCTGCCCATTTTCTTCATGTTCAAGTGGAGACAGTGAGGCCCACAAGTGTGATCGCTTGGCTGTGAGTCATATAGATTATTAACAGATGGGCCTGTACCCCAAGTTGTCTTTCTTTTGCTCCCTTCTCACTTAATCACCTTAGCATTACAGGAACATGTTTATCTGATTTTGGTTGGCCAGCACCTAGTGTAAATGTGCCCTGGAACTAAGACAATCCAGTTTCTAACATGGTTTTCTTTTGGAGTATACCACTAAAGAAATCTCACTTCAGGTGAACCTGGTGATGGAATTTACTTTGAAAGATTGAATGTCCTTTATTTGGCCATAGGAAGGCATATAGTAAGCCCTGATGTTGCGGTGCGGTGATAAAGCATTCACAGGCTAACTGAAAGGGCAGCAATTCTAACCCACTAGTTTTTCTGGAAAAGACCTAGTGATCTGCTTCCATAAAGATTACAGCCTAGGAAACCTTTTGGGGCAGTTCTACTCAGTCCAATAGGATCACTATGATTTGGAATCACTGTGGCACATAACAACATAATAGGTCAATGGACCCTTGATTATTTTTGTGTTTTATCTTGAAGGGACGTGCTATTTGACATATTTCATTGATATTTGTAATGTTTGGTTTCTGTTGTCTTTTATTTCTTCCTTGGATGACATTTTTTTCTTCTGCTCAAAAGATACACAGATTATTTTAAATTTTTCCACTGAATGCTGGTATAAATATTAAGCCAAAGCCATCATGGACCCTGTAATCATGTTACAATATTAACAATCACGCTGTGTTAGTCCCTTAACTTACGCACAGTCATGTGTCATGTGGTCAAATAGATTTAAACTTAATTTTATGACTTCTTATCAAACTGAGTTCTGTGGAATGATTTCTGGAATTACAAGGACAAGCAGGGGATTCATCAATGAAATTTTAAAAGTCATCTTACCGTCTTTTCTACTAAAGATAATTGGCTTCTTCTTGTCTTTGTCTTTATGTCCTTCTTTCAGGTAGCTAATTTTTTTCTTTTTTTTTTTTTTTTCTTTCGA